CTCATCACGGGGACTTCATGTCTGTCTTTGTCTGTCTGGATTCAACATAGAACTTGGCACCGAAGTGCAGCAGCGCCACGTTCCAAATAGCACACAAAGGTAGACAAGAAAATGAGTGAAGAGAATCAATAGAGTTTTGATAAGTATAAGAGTGAAACAGAATGAGTAATGGTAGAAAGGAATATGAAAGATTACAGAGACTGAATACATCTGCGTAAGCCATTGACAACCACTTTGAGCCATGTCACCTATTGTCTCCAGCCATTGATTCTTAGAGTCCCGAGGGCCCCAACCCGGAAGTCTGCATCTCCCTACCTGACTCAATTTAACTGTCAGGGATTTCATGGATTGTTGCCAGGTTTTTGTTTGGCCACCACCTACTCTTTTCCAACATGCACCTATATCAGCTAGTAATGCCCGTCCGTCGAGGGAGGCGATGGTTAGGCATGCGCAGCACGTGACCTAGCCATCTCAATCTATGTAACTTTATAGCCTCTTCGATTGATTTTCCCTCTTTGCCCAACACTCTATGCCTAACGTTAACATTACTTACTTTATTATGCCACCTAACGTGAGAAAGAGATCGTAAACATCTATGATCAAAAACAGACAACCTTTTCATGTCTTCAACTCGTATTGGCCATGTTTCAGAGCCATAGAGAAGGACGGAGCGAACTGCTGAGCAGTATACACGTCCCTTGGTTTATAGTCGGATGTCATGCCTACGCCAGAGATGGTGTAAGTTAGCGAAAGCAGCCCGAGCTTTTTGGATCCGTGCTGAGATTTCGTCACCAATCAATCCGTTGGTGCTGATGCAACTTCCCAAATAAGTGAAGTGATCAACATGTTCTATCACTGGGGACTTCATAGGTACACCTTGCAGGAAATATATCTTAAAACATTTCTGTAGTATGTTTAATTTTTCCAGATCAGTAATAAATCTTTTGACAAGTACATGTATACAAGAGTTTACATAAATATAAAATCAGATTGATGAGATATGTTACTGATGAACTATTAGCTAACTATTTAACAATCATCAACGTGTCGTAATTTGATATGAAATTAGACGATGAGAACGATTCATGAATCAAAACTTGTGTAGTCAACTTCTAACCCAGGGTAATACTGTGAAGTAATGTGGTTGAATAATGAAGAAGATTGTAAATTTAGGGAATGTACCTGATTGCCTTCTTTTTATAAATTTCAAAACTATGCCCTCAAAATGTAAAACACTGCTTCTTCTTCAGAATTAGCCTCAGTTTGTCTACTGATCAGCATATTAGGCTGAAACAGTTTTGCCTAAATATATCAATGCAACAAAATTGAGTTTCTTAGTTTCTACCTTACTGTTAAACAAAAAAACTTCTAATTTAATAAATATGCTTTAGACAAATAAATATTCAAAAAGACTGTCAATAAGAGACAAACAAAAAACGAATACAATATTTTGTGAGGAAGTATTTCTCCCACACTTCAATTTCAGCTCTCCTTTATATTTAAGAATTATAAATACAGTGAGATTTATTTGTTTATTTCAACCTTCTTTCATAAATACTGAAAGGTTTTATGGGTTTTTAGAAAATTAATATATTCAAGAGTTCTGTTTGTCTTTGTCTGATAGGACAAAGATGAATATATGTATATTTGTTTCATGTATTTATTATTTCAAACTGAAAAAAGAGTTTTTCAAGTTATTGACGTTTACAGTACTTATAATACTGAGTTCAGTACTGTAGCTACTTCAATTTTGCCAGAAGTATTATTAAAATGTCTTTGAGTGTTCGTTTAATTAAAAATATTTTAATGTGTCTGCAACCGTCTTGCTCTGTATACACAGAGAAGAGTGATTTTTCTGACCATTGAAGAATTTGTGAAAGACGCCAATTCATGAAAACTGTCTCTTTCTGTGTTTGTGGATACTGTGAATGATTAGCAGGGTCATCTGAATAACCTCATTCAAGAGCCTAACTCCATGTTGAAACATGGTTATACTTAGTACAACCCTTCAAAAATATTTACCGTCTCGCAGACAGAAGTTCAAATCGAATGAATTTTACTGGTTTTCTGCAAAATTTACCAGTTAATACATTACAAATTACTATATTTTGAAGAAAAAAATGTTAAATAGCTTAAGTGTGGGCCAATTTAAGGATATAATTGCTTGAGAAGCCAGAAAATACATGTTACGATCATCTGGTGGAGTCATGTGTAATGTAATCCAAATTATAAAACACCTACACTTTTGAAGTAAATTGGGCTCCGGTTTCGGCTTCACAACATTTCTGCTTGATAACCAGAGTTATAACCGTAATATAAATGGCTAGAATTCGAAAGAACCATAGACAGATACACATAAGCCTACCGATATTCATACTCTTAATGAAAGCCCGAAGTAAAATACAGCAAAATGACGTAACTATGTGTAGAATGATTACAAAATCTACGATCCAAGCTTTCTATAGACTTAGAAATTGAGTGAGAAAGTTGTGTAAATGCAATGATCTGATTGTGTGCAATGCATTGTGCTGCAAACATCATCCGGTTATTAATACCTCATCACTCTTTGTTTTCCTATATAAGCTTATCTAATAAGGAATTATATTCTAATAATGCGCTTGTTTACAGCTCCTAAATGACTTATATGTTCGCAAATTATTTGCTATTACAATGAACCTGCCTTCACACTCCAGTTTTAAGACCCAGAGTGATCTACACAATAGTATTTCTCCTATTTTTCTGCCCCCTATTACCTGTGACTTCGGCCTACATACTGATGGGATTCTGACCTTTGAATTTTACATTTATATGTATGACAGGTGTGTGATCACACTGTTCAAAACGTGAAGTGCAAAACTTTCAAAAGTGCCAGAAAACATCACGTCTTTTTATCGTTTTGTTAAAACTCAAAAGTAAAATAATTAGCTTAATTAGGTGTTGGTAAAATATGAAGTAAACTAAGAGTTAATGGAAACAGCCTTATATTAAATTGTTTTATTTTATTCTTTTGCGTTCCAGTTGGGACATAATACTATAGACTTAAGCTCCTAAGTTTCAGTAGCACCGGTTTTATTTTTACGAAGTATAGTTGCTTATCTGATGCCAAACATACCCACTTTCCCAGCCTTACCACCAGCTAGGCAAAGGTTTAGGTGTTTTTCAGCCGAGGGTCGAATCTTGGGTCGAATAAGCGACTGGGAAGCATTCTGCCACTGAGCAACTGACACCTTATAGTAAAACGCTCATTTCGAAATTATCCCATTTTTCAACTCAACTTCTGGCTATTTAAAAGATCAACATTTTGATGTGGATATATTCTCTGAGCAGGATAGTTTATTTGAGAAGCTTTCATTGCCCTACTAGAAGAAATCTTCAGCGCATACTTCAATTTGAAGTGAGCTTTTAGATTTCTCCACGAGTTTATTAGTCATCTCTCCTGGTGACCATGAATATAATTGGTTGTTTTTGTGTGTTTTCACACCATCTACGCTACTTTTATAGGAACTGAATGTTTCCTTGACTTGAACTTTGACCCTTTGTGTGTGAGATTTTCTTCTTATCAGTTGGTAAATTTTTACCAAAAAACACAACTACATCAAAATCATCCAACTGAGCTACAAATCTTCTCCGTCATATCTAGATCAACATTTAATAGGACTAAATGATTATTTGTAGATGATATCATTCAAAATAAATTCGCTTGTTAGCTAATCATTTCAGTTTTTAAAGTCTTGAGATCCAAACTTCAACAAAATAATTTAAAGTATGCTCATTGATGACTACATACAGTACTATAGTGGGAGCTTTCGAGAAAAAACATGAACCATGTGTGTCCTGTTATAATATACACACCAAGGTATTATACTGCTTCTGATCACCTTCTTTGCTACAGAAAAAAGAACCGAATTACTCTTTAAGTAGGAATGATTCATCACACGTATATTTCAAATATGAACTAATTCTTTTACCAGAAATTGAACCTATGAATTCAAAATAAATACATTTATATACGTGTATTTGTAAAGAGTACTTGACAGTAATGAAACATCAATCCAGACAATACTGCCATGTGGTTTCCTAATTAAGCAGAATTACGTCTTTGTCTAAAGCAGAGTAAAGTAACAATATCCATTCGTCAGACTGATACATCTGTTGATATGTAAACAAATATACATATACATTTGTATATTCATATGTTTAAAAAATGGCTACATTTCACTGGCCCTTTTTCTTCGTTTTCAGCACTAATTAGTCTAACAGAATACTGTCATTATTAGGCCAAGAAATAGTTATGGCACCTTAAGAAGAAGAATAAATACGTTAAGGCAAGACCTTTAAGATACTTCGTTTATAAAATACCTAATATCATAGCAAGTAAAGCATTTGGAATATATATATATATACATATATTGTCGACATAGGATACATTATTTATTCTCTACAAACATTCGATTTTTTATATGAAGTAATGTGGTGAATGCTGATCAGCAGTGGAATCAAGGATGTTCATTTCGCCATGTTCGGGAACATCGTCACTCAATGGGGGAATACAGGTACACGCAGACGAAGATTTCTAAATAGGACGAAATGGGCACCCTGGATTCCATTGATAGTCACCATTCATTAAATTATTCAAGTTTAATCCCAAGATATCGTCGAAGCATCTGCTGAAGGGGCTCACATATCAACAGCATTTGAACATTTTGGTCTAATCAATCAAAGGGAAAACTAAAGTAGAATTAAATCAAGTTAATCAGATTTTACTTCGTGCTCTTAATCCAAGGTGAACTGCGGATTTTCAGTTTTCATATTCGTAGGTTGGCGTCAGCAGATACTTCAGTGTTTTTAGAATAAATGGTTGAATATTGTCTGAAAGTTAACTTCATTAATACAAAAGACTGTTCAGGCAAATCATTGAAGAAACAGACCAGAAAAAACGCGAAAATTAAGCAAACAGATCTTAAAACAAACAATAATAATTTACAAAAAAAACAGTAACCTTACTCATAATGCGTTATAAAGCGTTCATTTCTTCTAGCTGGCATCCATGATATGTTTAAAGAGCCAAAGTTGAGAGGTACTATTTGTAAGTTTCTTGGAGGTAGAAGCTGTGAACTCATAGGTGAGTATAAACCTAGTATAAAAGATTAGTGAAAAATTTAAACCAAAATAAATATGCCTGAGTTAAATTAGACCTTAGACAGCCGCTTTAAATATTAAACATGGCATAAAATAGTCTCTCTATCTTCACTCGAACTGTTTGTATAGTGTAGAAAAGTTGTAGTATTCAAGCTTAGGATTTCATTGAAGAGTATGTCAAAATGAGTTGAAAACGGTGTTCACTTGCACATTATTTTACGTTGTGTAGCCCAGAGATTTTAATTATTATGCTACACAGAGATGATAGTTCAGCTTTAACGTCATATGAGTTAAATAACAGAATGAATCGGTACATTCCTACAGGAGGTCAATCGCAAGCTCGAATAACTCAGTGGTAAAGTCTCTAACTGCAGCACTTGGTGACCTGGGTTCGAATCTCAGAAGGGACATGATTTCCTTCAAGGTCGCCGATATGCACTGCTGATGAGTGCCAGCTAGCACGAAACCTTGGTTCAAGGCCTCCTGCCGATTGCCTCCAACCAACTGATAGGAATGAATCATGAATGATCACCGAAAATTGCTTTGATAATTCAATCAACCCTACTACCTAATATTAAGAGCTGAATGCTGAGAAATGAAAGCAGAAGTCTATTTAAATGGGATATTTTACAGAATTCAAAAAAGAAACTGCCGCTCTGTCTCTTGCTAATGAGTAATATAAACTTATTATATGTTGAAAATAAACTACAAGATTGAAACTATTGAAAAAAATAAAGCTTTATTGATAATATTCTAAAGCATCTTGTACTATTCTTCTAATATTTTTTTCACAAATATTTTGTTGTCTGACAGAAAACTGAGATCGAGAGGCTATTTTGAGGACCTAACTTATATTTCTTTTCTTTGTTCAAAGGTAGAGATTTTCAACAGGAATGAGTTACGAAAACTACGGATGATAGAATTTGTAAATCCTAAGAGTTTTAGTATGCTGTAAGAAGGAAATCCTTAAATTTCAAACCACGGGTTTCAGATTAAATTCAATTTGGATTTTCCCATCGTTTGGTTGCACTGAAGTGCTCGGTTTCAAGTTGAAACGTCGGCTCCCTGTGCAGATGCTTCGACGATGTCTGGTCACGTAACTTGAAGTCATTTGGTTGATGGTGAATAGCAGTGGAATGCTCATTATGGGTCTCAAAGTTAAAATTCATATGTTATTACAGTGAGTGATAATTTCACGCATAAGCTCAGCGAACCCGATAACACTATATAGGGAAGTGTTCGAAAGTACTTGTTGAAATGATGCATAATGTGTTCAAATCTAAGGCTGCGGGTAGAGGAAAACATCACTCATCAAGGATGTAGGTGCATCCAGTTGATGAGCCCGAAACAGGATTCAAAGTGACTCGCTAATTTCACCGCTAGCCACTTCGGACGAAGTCAGTTATAGTAGTATGACGAGAACACTTCGACCTTTAATCAGATTTAGAATATTAAGTATTAGGAAGCTGTATACACATTTTAATTGAAAATTATTTCCTCGGAAAATCAGGCAGAAAAAAACGCTTAATATTCGCAAATCCGGAAAACCTCAGTACATTTCAACTACACCCTTTTTTGCATCCTAATCAGTTTTATCTAGATATAAAATATCTGCATAGAAAGAAAAGAGTAATATTAAGCTCTTGCTCTTCGTATTACTATTATCATTATTTCCAACTGAAATCAGTAATTACTAATTCATACGTTTTTTACCAAAAGGGATTGTTGACAGCCTTGATGATGACAATAAGCATGATTAATGATTAATTAACGTGTTTTAGAAGAATAACAATAATAATAATAATGATAACATTGATACTGATGTCATTATAACCTGTATTAATATTTACCATACCAAAAATATAATATAGAACAATTGAGAAATTCTTAAAATAAGCAGTGAATAATGATTTTTGTTTCAGTGTTCATAAATATGTGTGTATAAATATGCGCATGCATAATTTCGGAGCACCTATCTGTAATTGTTGTATAGGCACATATCATATACCGGTAGAGAGAAACGGAGAGGAAAGCAGCGAAGTGTGACTTCTGTCGAAATAAATGGTCTAATATATGTACATAAGTATACATATGTATTTCCATATAAGTGTAGCAATTTTTGATATGCCTCTATTATTAACACTTAGCCCCTTATTAAAATTATAGAGACCTTAGAAATCCAAATTGTCATTTAAATGTTAACAAGATTTTGTAGCTTTTGATGCGCAGGAAAAGATTATACGAACGCTAGTTTCTTAATTCTCGATTTCTCTAAAACCCTATTTTGTCACATTTATTACCTCTCTAAAAAGAAAAGAATTTGAAACAAGCAACAAGTGTTAGCAAAGTAACACTTTGGTGAATACATACATCGAATGTCGGTCGAACCTGTTCAGTTAAATCCCGTGCGTCTATCATACTTTCATTGCATATAGGACATATATTTAAAAATTCAGTAAGTATAGCATTATTCTGATGTGCTTTACCGAAATTTGATGAATTCATATTACCATTTGTCGCTTTTTTCCCCAATATTGACTGAGTTGAATTGAATTTTGATTGCCGGGTCAACAGTTCAATTCGCTACACTTCAAAATGGCAAACACAAACTTAGGGAAACGGGAAAGAGAAGCATTGTTATCGACATAAATTGGTGTCGGGAAGAGTAATTACATGGAGCATAATGAAGATTTAGTAAACTGAGGAGGTCATAAGAAGTGATTGTCCTTACACCACTGGCAGTGATTTTTAGCTACACTAGAAGAAGTCTCCCTATGTCTTTTTGTAGTGTCTCGATGACACCCCTAATAAACCTTCACTTCCATACATGGCTAAAAGCAAATAGTCGCATGCAGCATTGACTGATGCTATGTTTTGTTTGACTACTAAGAGTTCTTTGCCAGCCAAATTTATTATTATTATTGTTCCCTCGGGTTCCTAGTGGAACATAGGGCTTCAACTGCACGTCTCCACTTGCTTCTGTCTTCTGCTGTACTTTTCACCTGCATCCATGTTAGTCCATACTTTTTCAGCTCCTCTTCACACGATCTCCTCCATGTCACTCTTCAATGTCCCACTCACCGCTTCCCTTCCGGGTTCCACTCGAGCACTGGTCTGACGCGCGATGTCACTCAACGGCCTCCTCAGCGAAAGTCCAATCCATCTCCACTTTCTCCTGCATATTTGTTGAGCGATTGGATCTTGTTTTGTCTGTTCCTATAGTTTCTTGTTGGTGATTCTTTCAGGCCATCTGATCTTCATTATAAAGCGAAGACATCTGTTGATAAAGGTTTGCAACAGGCTGTTGGAAATATTCTTTGTGACCCGCCAAGTTTCGGATTCGTATTGAAGAACTGACTTGACGTTTGTATTGAAAATCCGAATTTTGTTGTTGATTCTGAGTTGAGTGACGAAGATTTTCAGATTGGTTTCAGGTTGATGAATGTGTTTCTCGCCTTTCCGATTCTCGATTTGACATCCTCGGCCGTTACTCCTGTAGTTGAGACAATGCTGTCTACATAAGTGAATGAAGTAACCTCTTTCAAATCCCTCCCGTTGATGGTGATTGGCACTGGATGTTGCCGCTGCTGTTGTTGTTGTTGTTGGTCGGTTATTTTCATAACCTCCGTCTTGTCTATGTTCACCTGGAGTCCTGTCTTTGCTGCCCGGCTCTTCGACCAGTTTGTCGGTTTTCGCTTGTAAGTCTTCGATTTTGTGTGACATCAAACATAAATCATCCATGAAATCCAGGTCTTCTAGATTCTTCACGTCGGTCCAGGATATCCCTGTCTTCTCGCGTCCCACTATCTGACGCATAATCCAGTCCACCACAATTAGGAATATCATTGGTGATAATAGGCATCCTTGTCTGACTCCTGTGTTTACTCGAAACGCCTCGCTGAGTTTTCCGTTGTGGATCACTTGACATGTGCCGTTGTCGTACAGCTGTTGAATAAGGTTGATGAATACTTGGGGCACGCCGTAGTACTTGAGTAGTTTTCAAATTACTTCGCGGTCAACGTTGCCGAAGGCCTTCTCAAAATCTATAAAGTTGAGGTAGAGGTTTGGTTGCTATTCCATGCTTTGTTCAATGATGATGCGTAGATTTGCAATTTGGTCAGAACATGATTTGCCTTTCCTGAATCCAGCTTGTTCTAGTCGGAATTCTGTATCCAGTGCGTCCTTTGTTCTCTCCAGGATGATGCGACTCAGGATTTTACTTGGCGTCGACAAGAGCATGATTCGTCGCCAGTTCTTGCAGAGTCCTAGCTCAGCTAACATTTCTTGACAAATGAAGTTATGATTCGATGAGCGTGACACATGTCCTAGATATTCCATTCGGAGCAGCCTTACATTCTTATCGAAATTACAATATTTCATTCTTTTTTTCGAGAACTCTGTCGACATTAATTTTCTCGTCATAAAGTCTGTTTAGTGATCAGCAGTAACAGCTTTACCTTACTAATTTAAAGCATAATTACTGGAATCGCACTATCTAAATTCACATATCTACGACTCAACTTTTCAAATGGAATGATTACAATAAAACGATGGGTAGAATGGTATAAAATTCTTTAATATTAATGCTTAGTGTCATTCAATTTTCACCTTAACTTGTATTTCTTGTCGACTGACTATACTGGACGGAAATCCTCGTTCTCAGCTCCTAGTAGTAGCTCGTTGGCAATACCTAAGGATAAGCATCAACTTATTTTGGTTGATGGTGACAAGCAGGGGAATACAGGATTTCTATTTAGAATGTTGTTCCTTAGACCTCGTCAAAGCCTCCCCACTAGAAGCCGACCTTTCAGCGGAATCTGAGCTTTCGGCTCAACATATTCAGTCAACCGGAAATGCAGATTAACCTTTAAAGATGATATCCAGTAACTGTTGTAGCCCTCTTCGTCCAGAGGATAATGCCTTGGAGACTGGAATGATGGTTGCAGAGTTCGAGTTTTAGCAGGAACAATAATCGCTGGTAATGCAGGGTCATCCAGTTAATGAGTCCGTAATAGGACAAAATGTACACCCTAGATTCTACTGCTTGTCACTACCAACTAAAACGTCTTAGAACAATGCCAATCATCTGATAAGAACTTTACAAGCTAATAATACGAAGATAGACTTCCTTTGTAAAGTAGTTATTGAATATGCTCAAGGAAGATAAACCACCTAAGCTTCACTTTAGTTCTACCTTCAGCGATTACTTTTAAACTATAAACGTAAAGTAAAACTGAAGAGGCTGGCATGAATCGACTTTTTTCTCACCATTTTACCTAATGAATCACTTACAGTCACTTGGTCCAATGGTCAGGAAAGTACTACAAATTACCAATGTTAACCAGGTACATTAATTCTCCTATGTTACTGCAACTATTGTAGAATAATAGTACAATACAAAGAATCCTGTAGGTGGCAGTCACCATTATTATTGATAAAAACAAGTGTATGCATAAATGACAAATCAATATACGTCGATATCCACTGTCATCAATAATGCATATTTGAAAGAAAGCAGACAAACAGTTATAACCGTTATACAATACATTTTCTTCTCTGTTGTTAAAATTTTTCATTTTCTGATTAGGTTTGCTATTATGTTGCGTAATAATGTCAACTTTTAAAATATTTCTCTGCTTTTAACATTGGTTGCCTTTTTAACTGTCACTGTTGATAAGATGAATTGTTTTTTCGCAATGTAGTTTTGAAAAGGAGGAGGAGCAGGAGAAGTAATTAGAGAGGAGACAAAAAATTTGTAGACGTTTTGAAAAAGAACCCTTGTCACGCACAAATCGATGAATGAATGATAGCGGATACAGCTGGAAGATTCTAAGTTCAGATAGATGTTGTTTTACTGGATTCGCATTATGATGAAAACCTTAACTACACTGATGCTCAAAGCAGAAATTAAGTTTTGTTATGTACCGCTAATTTCACCTCAAGTTTGCTTATAGTTTATGCTGTCGATCACTCTTGGCCACTTTTGTATTTCCCACTGTTTCTCAAGCCTGGGCCCTGATTAGTTTCTAAATATTTAAATTTGCCGATGGATGTCTTCTTTGTCAAAGACATCTAAAACATTTGTATTCAATATCGCTTACATTCGTTTTGAATGTTTTTCTGAGACCGTAGAGGCTCTCTATAAGCAATTTGTCTTTTATTAGTGTTATGATATTCCTGGGGTATCATTATTGTGGTAGTTGAGGTTGTTACAGACCTCGTCAAGTCGTTAAGTTTGTATCACTCTCAGTCTGCTCAATCTCACTACTCATCATGTAAAATTTTCATGTAACAATTTCAAATCGTGGATCTGTTTTACCGAAAACGGCTACGTGATCGATCTTCCATTTTCTTATGATACAGTTGAATCTTCACACACCGGTAAACGTCCTTACAGTGACAGTGTGCCTGACTATTGTCTTCTAAACAGAATTAAGTCATTCTCATGAGTAGTGAGAATTTGACAGTAATTATTGTTCGGCAGCTGACTTGTTCCGCAATGATCTACTTGGCTTCATAGAGCACTGAATTCATCCTGAACACTTTATATACAATACTGATACTTATTTTAATACGTCAACTTATTTTTCAATAATAATCGCCTTTATCACCTGACCTTTGTCGTTGTTCTAACACTTACCTGTCTACATTTGACCCAGTCTTAATTTATTTGGTGGATGGTAACTAGCAGTGGAGTCCAGGACACACATTTCGTTCTATTTGGGACTCGCCACTTGGATGTACCTGCATTCCACAGTGAGTGATGGTGTTCCCACCAGGACTCGAACTCAGTGCCCATATTTTCAAACGTCAAAGCGTTATCCATTAGACCACTTGGGCCACGACAGCCATCTTTTCAGCAATTGGTCATACTAATTATTTAATTCAATTTTAAATTAGTCCTTATTTGTTTTAAGCTGTTTCCCATTCTTAATGCTTCAACTTGCTATTATGTGATGCTGTTGATAGGGATGAGTTGTATTACTTTTGCGATTTTGTTTCAGTGGAGATACAGTTACACAGTGTAGTGACTACCTGGCCTTGGACTCTCTGCGGGAAACGTATTCTGTTCTTTTCTGTTTGTTTCTTGCACAGAGAGAGAGATCTGATCTCATTTTATTGGGCATATTCTGGTTAGTCTTCAGGAATTTCCCAGTTGTCACTGGTTAATCAGTTACGTTGAGTAGTACGTATTTTACACTTGAGAAACTTTGGGGCTGCGAAGCTTCCATTCAGTACTGTTGATATAAGTTATTACTGTTAAAAATGCTACAGATTCTGTGATATAAATCGTATTTTTGATATCCCTGAGAGATAAGTTTTGACTCTGCACGACTACCAGATGTGTTGAGAGCTACGTCCGAACGAAAACACATAAATTCTGATCACTACTACAAATGGTGACTGTTATTCACAGAAGTCCAGGCTAATAAATATCAACTTTACGTAAACAACTTTATTTTGAAATACATCTTATTTGGATGAAATGTTTCTCATAGAGAAAATTGTGTAGAGTAGGGCACCATTAAAAGGCTTGTCCTAAAGAAATCGTCAAATTTGGTGAAGTTCAGTGTAAAAGAAAAATAATTTGCTGACATCAAAGGTACGGTCCTAGGCCGTATGCGTAATTTCAAATGTAGAACTCTTAAACTACAAGGCGTCAGAGATTTTAGAATGTGTCCCATTTATGTATAATTTAGGAATAAAAAATCCCATTTACAAAAAATAACACGCACAATCAAGTTTCCTTCAGTTGTGTTACGACGTCACTTGTGTAACTATGTCAACTGGTTAGAAAAAAACAACAACCAAAACAGTTATGCTTTTTATATTGTGTGAAATAGTTGTTAGTTAAATATAAAACCAAAGTATCATTTTTCTCTTCTCTCACCTGTTGTCTGCATTTCAGAATTTCTTTTATGTCTAACACGGTTAAGTGGTTCAATTCTAGGTGCACTGGAAAAGAAAACATTTGCATAAAAATTAAAAATATAATTAAAATATCCGTTTTATTCATGCATTATTTCAATTCAATAGCTATCTCAAAGTTATAGTATTTTATTTCTTTGTGATCAAGTGAAGTAGAAAACCAAGTAAGTGTGGAGACCAAATATTCCTAATTTTTAGTGACAATGTTGTTAACTAAACAGGTTACAACATAGAAGTAGTGACTTGAAACTGAGGACCTTCTGGTTATAAGGCCAACTCATTGACCAGGCCTTGTAACCAGAAGGTTCTGGGTGCAAACCCTGGCGGTGGGTGTGTACTGATGAAGACTCCCACAGCGCTGGGACGAAACAGCTGTACAGTACTTCCTCGTTTCCCAGTGGTTCTCTAACCAATGTCACCTCATGATGAAATCATGTAACCAATCAATCAAATCCCTACAAACCAATAATTGAAAATGAATTTACTTATTTATTTATTTGTTCCTTTTGTCTTAACAAATGATACATTTATGTTGGCAATATGCTTTATCCTTCATAGAGGAAAACCTTCACAAAATTTACATGTGTTAAGGCATTTCTACAAGTTAGTGAAGAATGCGTCATGATATATGAAGTGGTTGTCTCCCCTACGCTTATTTTCCACTCATTGAGATTGAATGAGACTATAAAATACAAATTTCTCTTTTGAAAAAAATGGAATTTTAAGGAAAGACAAGTCACTGTCCATAAAATGTACTAGTCTCTGGAAGCGTGCATAAATTTTACAAGATTTAATTCTTTTACATCGAGTATAATATCATAAACATCTGGTCAAATGTTTTTCGTTACATTTGAATAACTTTTAGTATTCTGTTTGTTGCACATGAGTCAAGTAATATCAAATATTTCGCTACAGGAGTCCTATCTTAACCTGTTTATATATAAAAATGAATTTTTGTGCCTGTAAAACCTAAGCAGTATATTGCGTGCAATGCTGTGCACACACAATGAGACAAGTTAATGATGCGATTTCAGTGTCTTTTTGGCTACTGTTAAGCAATTGGTAATTTTGAATGAATACATATTGTTAGTGAATTTAGATGACTTTAAAATGCTTGAATATAAAGCACTAGAACATGCAAATAAGAAAAGAGGTGTCTCAATAACTTCCCTTCAGGGATGTTCAGTTATTTAAAGGCTTACACTTGTACACTGTTAAATGACAAAAAGGTCAGAGGAAATATAAGTATAAAACTTGGTCACTGTGGTGGAGCATAACTCCATCATGGATAAGAAATTATTTGATAAATCACACAGTGTTGTACAGTAATACTAACTGATGAAGTTTCGAGAATAAACTATTGCTCATAATCATATCAGGTCAGAGGAATATATGTAAATTAGTAAATAATCTTATGTATTCAACTGTTAGTTTATAGGGATTTGATTGGTTACAGGATTTCATCATGAGCTGAGTTTGGTTAGAGAACCATTGGAAAACCTGAGAGTCCTGGACAGCTGTTTTTACTAGTTTGGGACTCTTCATCAGTACGCACCCACCGGGATTCGAACCCAGGACCTTCCGGTTACAAGGCGAGCTCGTAGACCATTAAACCACTGGAACCTGATCCAATGGCTCATGAACTCTAAATTCTGCCAATTCATGACATAGCACGACCAATGTCACCTCATGATGAAAACCTGTAATCTTACGTATTCATGAAAAATAACAACTAATAAGTTAAGTGATGACTAGTCATTTAGAAGTAACTAATGGGAAATACGAGGACAATTTTGACTTTTTTTTCCTTGATTAACTGGACTGAAATGTTCCGCCTCTGTTGACCTGTCGCCTCCTATTACGGATGCTTCGATGATGTCTTAGGATTAACTTGGAATGATTTGGTGGATGGTGACTAGCAGTGGAATCCAGAATGTACATTACGAGTCTCAGCGGAAGCACCATTACTCAGTGCGAATGCAGGTACATCCAGATGGCCAGTGCTAACTAGGACCAAATGCACATCCTGGATTCCACTGCTAGTCATCATTTTACAAATTATTTCAAATCTTCATCAAGTTGAATGGTATGTAAAAATAATGCATGGAGAAAGTGTTAAGCCCATTATTGTGGAAGAGTCCATAAAAAACTAATGGCGCAAACAACTGACTGTCATACTGATTAGTATAAGTAATTGCACCGACTCACAATTATCAATAGTGCTTGTTGAGCGAACTGAGGTGACCTAAACACCAAACAGACATTTGGCTCGTTGGCGGCCGAGCTCATCATGCTATCAGGCAATACTGTTTACCAAGAATGGTCTCCTACCACTACTCATATACATCAGTAGTATATGTCATCACACTTTTTCACTTTCTTACACGATTGCTGTCATTGGCATCAAATGTATAGCATGTTATGACTTTAATATTATTGGTTTTCAAAGGAGAAGGAGTAGCAGTAAAATTTCACCACACAGTATACAATCTACAAAAGCCGAATTAGATTCTATCAAGCAACATAAATATTCATTTGTAGTCAGGATAGCAACAGAGGTAATTACAGGTAGAGATTAAGTAGAAGTGAAATTGAGTGAATAAGTTGGATGACGTAACATGAATGACTAGAAACTGAGCGTTGTTCAAGTCAGTAACAGTGGTAGTGGGGTGTAGAGATTGAATCGGGTGGGGGTAGAGAACAAGAAAGTTGAGAATGTAAAATGTTACAATTGAGAAGACAAAATAATACTAATGAAGAGACAGAAAAAAAAAAGATTAGGTAGAATTTACATGTTGGCTAATAAGATAGATTACGTCCATTGCAAGTGTAGCGATTGAACGAACTTCTTCTGTATGCAGAGTTCAGGACTTAGCAAGTGAATCGCCATTGCTTCTGCAGTTTGAAGAAGTCTGATTCGTACACCTTTAGGGAGACCACCTCTTACTCTGTAGACGACGTTGAAGTTTGTTTGCGGTGTAGCTTGGTGTCCGGATTCTATCAGATGTTCTAAGATGGAACTGCGGGGGCATCGATTTTCTCCTTTGTAAAACCATGCTGGTAAGTGCTCGGTGATACGTTTGGAAAGCGAGCGCTGGGTACGGCCGACATACCTGGCTCCACACGAGCAGGTGAATTGATAAATGCACATTGATGAGGCCAGCAGCGGTAGCTTATCCTTCACGTTCACATGAATCATAGGTTTTGTGGAGAAGGTTAGTCGTAGTTCAGCTGCGAAGAAGGTCTTCTTAAGTGAGCGCGACAGTCGATTTTTTAGTGTTTCCGCAGATAGATCTCCATTGAATTGGAGGTTCATGTAGAGTAGTTTTTTCTTGACGCTGAGTATGGGCGGCTTTTGTGGTCTGGGATTCATAGATTTTGCAATAAATCTTTCTGGATAGCAATTCTCGACGAGGATTCTCTTGAGGTTGTCCAGTTCATCTTCTACGGTGTCCGGGGTGCAGATTCTGCGAACTCTGTAGCTGAGTGAACGGATCAGGTTTCGTTTGGTGTATAGTGGTACCCAACTGTGAAAGTTAGTAAGCTGTCCGTTCCACGTCGATTTTCTGTGGATAGATCTTCTCAGTGTTCCATCTTGTTCTCTTCTGGTTAGTTGGACGTCAAGAAAAGATATTGTGGAGTTGGACTCTTTCTCCATCGTGAACTGAATTGCAGGGTGGCAGTTGTTGAACGACTTTAAGATGTCGTCTAGATTTTCTTCGTTGTTGACGATAATGAAGGTGTCGTCGACGTATCTTTTATAGATTTCGAAGGTATTGATCATTTTCTTCAGGCATGTATTTTCGAGTTTTGCCATGAAGAAATCTGCAAGCAAAGGGCCTAGTGGTGAGCCCATAGCTATACCATCCTTTTGGCGATATATTTCGTTGTTGAAAGAGAATTGAACATTCAGGGTACACCTCAGTAGGAGTTCTTTAAGGTGCTCGGTGGGTATACCGATGTTTATTCCCATTGAGTGAATAAGTTCGCATATATAGGATATTGTTTCAGTCAGTGGAACGTTTGTGAATAGTGATGTGACATCTAATGAAATCATTGTCTTGTTGGATACGTTGATATTTTCGATTGAGTCGATAAAGTCGAATGAATCTCGAACTGTGTGGCAGGAAACTTGTTTCCTGATTGGTTCAAGTAGATCTGCTAACCATTGAGCTGTGCGGTGATAGGGTGAATTGGTCATGTCAAGGATCGGTCGAAGAGGGATACCCTTCTTGTGTACTTTCGGGAGTCCGTAAAGTCGTGGTATATTTGAGCCAGACGGTCTAAGGGATTCGAACATTTCGTTGCTGATGAAGGATTCAGTCTTCAACTTACGAAGGGTGTCCGTTAGCTTTTGTTCGGTTTGTTCAGTCATGTTTTTCTCGTTGATCGGCTTTGTGAATTTGCATTCATCGGATAGTATAGTCAGCATTTTACTGATATAGTCCTTGCGATTCATGATTACGATTCCTCCGCCTTTATCAGGACGTAATATCATAATCTCTTCATTTTTCATAAGTTCTTTCAGCTCCTTATGGTGCCTCTTCGTCAAGATGGACCTTCCGTTGTGTTTGGTATTTATAAACTTGTGACAACAGTCGAGGATTGATGCTTTGAATTGTTGTAGGTTTTCGTCTGATGTAGGTGTGAGATCGTAAGTCTGGTTTATTAGATTTTCGAACTGAACCTGGCATTGTAGCTTGTCAATACTTGGTGGTTTTACGCAGAATTTTGGACCTAGAGATAGTGCCTCTAGTTGAGTAGTAGACAGTGTGATGTCTGAAAGATTGAATACGTACTTTTCTGGATTGCTTGGGAACGGAGATTCGGTATTAATTGTAGGCTTAAGGCTTTTGAGAAGATCTGCTTTAGTCTTGTTACATTCTTTCTGAGTGACTTGTTGTACATATTCTTCGAAAGAATGGCGTAGTTCTTGATCTAAGTCTTCGACTGCATGAGCTCTTGAGTAGACGTTTCGCTCTAGCTCAGGGACGCGTGATTGAATGGAGTCGATGTTGTTTCGTGTG